TTATTTAATCTAATTTTGAAGTACTTTAGTTATTTTTTGTGGACACAGTTATGTAACTCGTTTATTACTCATGTTTGAATCATATTTGAATCATATTTGTTTATTACTTATATTTGAAAGAATTGTCTGACTAATCATTTATGAAAAAGTTTTTATTAGATTCATTAAATTAATGAAAATTTGTTTTAAAGTAATTTCTATTCAAACTTTATCTGTGCGTAATATATCCTCTTAATTTGTTTATTTTATACATATTAATTCGTTTATCTCTTATTTTTAAAATTTATTATTTATCTCTTATCTACATTTACATTTCTTATCTACATTTAGACTTTTATAAATTATTTTGTATTTCTTTTTTTACATATTTTTTATATGTTTTGAATATTTTAATCAAAGAGTTGTAAAACTTTGAATTACAATTTTATCCTAAATTGTAGTGACTTTGGAAGCCTTTCTAAAATATGATTTCACTGAGGATACATTTGCTGAACCTATATGCATTTCATCAGTAGGATTTGGAAAATTTAGATTTGAAGTACGATGTAAAGATCGTAAAATTCTTGATAAATTTCAAGTAAAAACAAAACTTCAAATATCTGGCATTCTTAAGGCTGACAGAATGCCAAATTTTTTGCTTGTTGAAAACGTGTCAGATATCAAAATCATACCGGGTACCATCTCAGATGAAGACCTTGCAAAAGCAGCGTTTCTTCCGAGAAAAAGAAAGTCCAATGGTGACATAGAAATGGTAAATCTTTTGGGGGGGTCCCGTTTGCCTACATTCCCGATTGCCAACAGCTTCGTTTGCCTACAACATTTTGCCGACAGCTTCGATTGCCGACATTCCCGATTGCCTACAGAGCGATTGCCTACAAGCATTATTGCGCACATGTAAAAATTAAAAATACGAACGTACGTTTGCACACATGACATTATTGCGCAGATACACATTGCACACATGGTATTATTGCACACATAAAATAAGAAAACCGAATTAACGTTTTGCACACATGACTTTATTGCGCACATGCAAAATGGAGCTAGCCCCAATAACCCTGACCTTGACATATATTGTCAAGGTCATCGTCCTGAGTGATCCTGACCTTGAAAAAAGTGGCAGTCATGATCCGTTCAAATCTATGTGTCTAGTTATCCGGTAGTGGTGCCCCCCCCCGCAGGGGGGGCGGAACATACTGCGTCCACGCATACACTTTTTAATGCGAAGCGAGGTTCCACGTGGGTTTGTAATTTTCCACGCGAAGCAAGGTCTAGCCCCATCATCTGCTGCTTTCAGTGCGAAAGAAAATCTATTATTGTACAGTTTCATATAGGTTTTGAATACACCCAGTAAGCAAAATGCGCATAATATGCCAGCAGATTGGCAACAGATTTCCTCAGCTCTTGCTAGCAATTTGGCATCTGTTATGTCCGCATTAGGCTAATGATCTGCCAGCAGAGCCTGCTCACAGAATCTGAGAGCAGATTAGCAGCAGAAACCGAGCAGGATCTGCTAACATGATTTGACGTCAGATTGATGGCAGAGATCAAGCAGGATCTGCGCGCGCGCAAATTGACGGCAGATTGGTAGCAGAAACCGAGCAGAATCTGCAACTTTTGGCCATTCATATAAAATGATGCATTTAAATGAATTTAAAGGATCTCAAACTTAAATGGCAAAATGACGGTGAATTTTGGTCACAAAATTATCAATTAGATGTCCTAAGCTGGGTCTCATAAAATCCGAAAATGGCGTCAATAGTTAATATATCACATTCACAAGATGTCATTTTCTGACATTTGTATTAATAACATATAAATATATAATATTAATAACATATATTAATGTAATATATATAGAAAAATTTAAATAATTTAATTTATAAAATTAAGTTTGTTAAGATAGTTCCTGTGAGGTGGCATTTCAATTTCAATAATTCTTCAGCCAAGATATAGCTCGTATAATAACGATCAGTGAACATATGATATCCTTGAGCACCAGGTATTTTTTCCAGCAGCATTGTATAAAGATGCAATAGTATTCTCGTTGATACCGGAAGGTCGGTCCTTATCAACTTGTCCGTTGTCAAACTTCCATAATAAGGAAGAATGCCACAGATGTAACCGGTACTTGAGTCTGCCATCGTATAAACTCTAATACCCCATTTGGTTGGTTTCTTGGGATTGTAAGTAATAAAGGAGATCCGACCTTTGAACTTGATCGTAGATTCATCCACACAAATTTCTCTTCCCGGTGTAAAATACTTTAAAAATTTTGAATTTATATAATCAAGGAAACAGCCAACTAGCTGTAAGCGTGTTCGTGGTCCTGCATCTTGTCTTTGGATTGTCTTTAGATGAAGCATCCAAAAAATCTGATTGAATCTATCTCTTCTGAACTTGTTCGAATAAAAAGGAATGTAGCTGACATCATTGCGTGACCAATATTCTTGTAAATATGCCAACGGCATTGTCCCCATATTTATTATAACACCAATAAATGCCCACATTTCTTCGATAGTTACATTCCGCCAATTTCGCCATATCGAGTACGGTGATAATGTCTTTCCTTCTAACTTTTTTGTAGCATAATTATTAGTTTCAATAACTATTTCATTCACCAGTTCATTAGTAACAAAGAGATTTAAAAAATCCAATGGTTCTTTCTTATCTGGTGGTACGTGCGGTCCTGCAGTAGTGTCGCCGGCTATGAATGGTATTCTTGACGGTATTTCTTCAGATTCAGTGCAACTAATCCATTCAGAACTGTCCGATTGTGAGTCTTCTGTAGTATCAGTATCGCTGTCACATTCACTGTCTATTACTCTGATCTTTCGCCTTCTTACACCTCTTACTTCGTCACTATCGTCACTACTGCTGTTATTCGCTGTATCGTCAAGCTCTCTGTGTAGAGACGTAATTTCCTCGTCAAGCACCGTGAAATTGAACTCATCTTCACTTGAACTTATTTCAGTATTACGTTCCATGTTTTTAGGGATCAAAAACTTTAACTTTAGTAGTCTCTCTGCCACGACTGTCTGGTTCGAACTAATGCCGAAAACGCAGTCCGGGTCCTGGTTGCGGACTAATTTCAGATAAGAAAGTCTTATCTCCATTTGAAGGGGTGTCATTTTACACTTCATAAGATTATACAGAAAGAGCGTAGGAACCCGCGTCGAAGAAACTAAACGTAAACAGTTACTGCCGCGCATCGAGTTACCGCAGCAAACCAAGTGGTGAGCGAGAGTCATCTCTCGAGTTGCGGCATCAAACCACATGGTGAGTGAGAGTCACCTCTCGAGTGCAAAGGGTTAATTTACAACTCTGGTAATAATATCCGAACGCGAGAAGCGGAGTCGTCCTAAAAACGACAACACTGTTTGACAGCTGCCATAATTCCAACATATCTATTTTTTTGAAAAACAAACCCCCTGCGTTTGAAGTGAGGAGGGGATTTAAGGCGGCAGGAGGCACGAACCAAGCAACCATCCCTTCCGTGGCCGCGGCACTGTCGTATCTGTGACAAATAATTGTTAGAAAATAATATTTGCGGACTTGAAAAAATTTGCGAGGTACGAGTGGCTGAATCGGAAATCGAACCCGAGTCTTTCGCTTTCCGGGCAACTGCTCTTACCACTGAGATTTCAGAATCACAGATTTCCGAACCGCGAAAAAAGGGCAGTCATTAACAGGACATTTTGAAGATTTCCGTCGGAGTCGCGGAATACGTGCCGTCGCTCGCTCCTATTATTCAAAATAAAGGGAACATTCCTAACAATCTGCACTCGATTCTTTTCTCAATCTCCATATCCTCCAGCGGATCTACGGATTCGCGTTACACACCGCTTCTCGCTCATCTCTGAGCGTTTCTCTAAGATTCGGGCGAACTCGTCGAGGTCGACTCCCGAACATAGATAATAACGATTTTCATTTATTCGGACAATTTCTGTCCAAATAACTGAAAATCGGACATTTACTTGTCCGATTTTCCAAAAATTAGTTTAATATCTGAATTCCCCTGTATGGGAATCGTATCAGAAATTAAACTGATAACGCGCAGATCCTGCTCGGTTTTTGCTATCAATCTGCCATCAGATTGCGCGCGCGCAGATCTTGCTCATGTTTTTGCAACCAATCTGACGTCAAGTTATGTTAGCAAATCTTGCTCGTTTTCTGCTATCAGATTCTGTGAGCATACTCTGCTGTTTTTGGCATCAATATGTCGATTTAATCTGAAATAACAACTTCTGTATCAAATTAGTATCCTTTTTGCTAACAATAATTGATAGCAGGCACTTGGCATGATTTGCTTTCGACAGACTTGGCTATCTGGGCACATATGCACAAAAGTTTTATAAACCAAGATCTTTTTACTAGGCTTCTACATACATTTTTAAACGTTCACTTATATTCTTTCATGCATTTCCGAGTGGGAACCTATTTGATTTTGTATGTACAAATTGCACAACTTTTATATTAAGCAAATATTGTTACGACCTGACGCAAGAAGCCAGAAAAAAACTGTAATTTAACTTTTCTTCGTTTTTAACGTAAAAGCGCAAGGTTCCCACTTTGTTGATGTATATACTTTAATCGTGGAAAAGGATTTCTCATTTCATGTAACCAATAAAAAAATTTCGGTGTACAAAAATATAATTATTATGGCCGGTAAAACAGGACAGTCCGGCATCCTCTTAAGGGGATCCTGAACTAACGGGCGAACTCCGATGGGTTAGCGCTCTCATCTAAACGTAACTAAAAGGTTCGATAATACCGACATTTTTAGTTCCGCCATTACCAATATAATTATTTAAAACATGCATAATAGAAAACGCAATCTTTTGCATTGTGTTCCATATATTGAAATAAGACAATATCACAATATATTTTTACCGCTTTATATACAATAATTAATTGATAAATTAATAAACTTTAATTCATGCGTGAGAGAGTATAATATACCCATGTACGCACTAACATTATCGCAATTTCTAATATCTTCTTTCTCTCGATCATACGCTTACTCTGTTTCTCTCTGTATCTCTCTTTCTAATCGCTCGCTTACTACGTACTGCATATCGCTTAGCTTTATTCTTCTAGCATATTCGCTTACGCGTTTACTCGCGCTTCTCTCTCTCTCTCTCCTTTTCATTCATTATTCTTTCATTATCATTATTATATTTTTGTATTTGTTCAACATTTATTCTTCTATTTTATTCTTATCTCTCTACACGTAAATAAATAAATTTATTTATTTTTATTTTATATAGCAAAGATGAGATATAATATACAAGTTATTTTCTTTTTTTATTTCACTATATATAGTTAATACAATACATAATTATGTTTCACTATAGTTAAATACATCACATGCACATACAAAAATACACACGCACACATACCCAGTCAGCCACGTCTGTTCTAACAGATATTGCCAAGTGCTTGCTACAAATTATTGTCAGCAAAAAGGCTACAAATTTGGTGCAAGAGTTGTTATTACCGATTAAACTGGCAGATTGCCGGCAAGAACCAAGCAAAGCTTGCTAACATAAATAGACAGCAAATTGGCGGCAGAAACCGAGCAAAGCTTGCTGACATGACTGACATCAGATTGTCAACAAAAACTGAGCAAGATCTGGAGTGCGCAATCTGATGGCAAATTGGCAGCAAAAACCGAACAGAATCTGCAGCTTATTACAAAGTATTATAAAATAGTTCAGTCGCTTATCGCTATGCGGCGCGTTATTCATTATCTATACCCGTATTCAAATTCTTATCATGAGTGTATATAAAGCCTGCAAAACGCTAATAATATTATAATATATATATATCAGGTGATTGCATAAGTTCGTGCCCGATTTAAATATAAACTTCAATAGATTATTTTCCGCAGGGATGTAATTATGATTACTTATTTCATTAAAAATTATACGATTTATGTCGTATTTACCCAGCAAACACAAAATATAACTGCTATATAACATGGGAATAACATGTAATGTAACGGTTGTTATACCTAATTTATATTGGGATTATATAACTATCTCTTATTTAAGCAATATAACACCAGAATATAACTGCTATATAACATGGGAATAACATGTAATATAACGGTTGTTATACCTAATTTATATTGGGATTATATAACTCTCTCTTATTTATGCAATATAACACCAGAATATGACTGCTATATAACATGGGAGTAACATGTAATGTAACAGTTGTTATACCTAATTTATATTGGGATTATATAACTATCTCTTATTTAAGCAATATAACACCAGAATATAACTGCTATGTAACATGGGAGTAACATGTAATGTAACAGTTGTTATACCTAATTTATATTGGGATTATATAACTATCTCTTATTTAAGCAATATAACACCAGAATATAACTGCTATGTAACATGGGAGTAACATGTAATTTAACAGTTGTTATACCTAATTTATATTGGGATTATCCCAGACAGCACAAAACGTCCTCAGGATCATCCTGAATATGTCCAGGATGGTTCAGGATATTTGTAGGATGTTTTAAGATATTTTTATAAATATATTTTATGAAAATTTAATATGAACATGATTACTTTCGGTTATTTAATATAATTTAGAAATTTTAAGTATTGTAATAAGTATTAATGTCCTATAAATGTCCACTGGATAACACCTGGATGTCTGTAGGATAGCTGCCCTGTCTATTATATTGAATGTCCTTTGGATTTCCAGAGGACATACTGTTATTGTGACGTCAGTTTGTTACTTGGGTGGACTATTATATGACTGTAACAATCATATAACATTTTAGTAACATGTCCCAGACAGCACAACGATGTCCTTATGCCCGTATCAGACTACACATTGAAGATTGAGATTCAAGATTCAAGATTGAAATTTGACAAATCAGAATAAAGAAATTTTAGGTCTTTTTGTTCTGATTAGTTAAATTCCAATCTTTAATCTTCAATCTCTTCAATCTTCAATGCGTAGTCTGATACGGGCTTATGTCACGTGCCAACTGCAAACTAATTTCAAATCATAATTCGACAATATATACACATATATATATACCCAGATAGCACAAGGATGTCCTTAGGACGTCCAAAGGGCATCCAGGACATACATGTAGGATATCCTGAGGATATCCTATTTTAATCCTTGGATCTCCTCTGGATGTCCTGAGGAAGTGTAAATGATAGCCGTACACTAGCCTCTGGAGAATCCAGGGAGATCCTGTGGAACATCTTAAGGATTTCTATAGGATATGTTAGGGATATTTTTCATATGTTAAAAGGAACAAATTCTAAAATTTAAATATAAATTAAGATTGCGTTCTGTTATTTACTGCCAATACTAAAAATCTAATACTAAAAATAGTTCACGTTCTTTAATATTTGAGGTTTTCGTGCTGTACATGAATATTTTAGGTTTGGCTTCCGGGTTTGAGTCGTGTAATATTTTCAAAACAATCCAATATCTGAATTCCCTATGTTGGGATTGCATCAGAAATTAAACTGATGAAAAATAATTATATTTTTAATTTTTTGTTAGTTGCTCTTCGCAAGCTTTATATAATTTTCATGACCAAATCTCAAATACGAGTTTGCGCGTCGCATAGCGGTAAACAAACGAACTAGCGGTTGAATACTATTTTTTGTAAAGTTTTTGGAATGTTGCGCATAGTAACATTTCTCATGAAATATTAAATAAACAATAATTTTGAATATGTGAAAATGTGCGCATCAAATTCAATTATTAATATTAAACGAAATTAATGTTAACAATTAATTGCACATGCATATGTCCTCTGGAAATCCAAAGGACATTCAATATAATAGACAGGGCAGATATCCTACGACATTAATAACCCTGCCGAAAATGGTCGATTAAAACGGATTAAAAAAAATGTAATCCGAATCGATCGGGATTTCTGCACCGAAAATGCGGAAAATGCGGCGATTGAAAATAGTCAAATCGAATTTAGTACGCTTCAGGCGAGGTTAACGTTGGATGATATATCTCCACCTCAATGCGAAATTATACGATTTCATAAAGTTATAATTAAACCTGTTTTAATGCAATTGAATTGGAAATTACCATAGTCAATCCATAGGTAAAAAATAATCCCTTT